CCTTTCCTTTCCTTTCCTTTCCTTTCCTTTCCTTTCCTTTCCTTTCCTTTCCTTTCCTTAATCCCAGTTCTATTAATTTAATTCCAGCTAAGTGAATACAGATTTTAGGCAAGGGGAAACAATGTTGTTCTAAAATTGAGTTTCCAACGTCTCCTTTTGTTTATAGGTAGTATTATCTTCCCTACTCAGAGAATAAAATCACTAATTGTACAAGAGATTCTGAGGTAATCAAAAAGAAATAATAGATGCCATTTAGAAGTTTGATGTCATCTTCTCCATACTGCCACGGACAAGGAGCTGTATACTGTACATCTACATTGTTCAAAGGATATACATTCATATAAATAAGCTTTTCTTGAGACTGACAATGGTAATGAATACACAATGGGAAAATATTCAAATAAAATTCACAGTGCCCAGCTGTAAATACCCAAGAAGATCAACATCATTTTATCATCCCATCAAAGATCTGCAAATTCCCAGAACATCTTAAAAATAATTCTTACCTCTTTCCACATGATATCCTCCCACGTTCCATTTCTTAACACTGGAAAAGGGAAAGAAAAATATATATTTTTTCCCTTTTAAAATCAAAAGTTAACATATGACAAGAACTCAGAAGAACCAGGGTAGAGGAATGCTCAGTGGACCTGAAAATATCTTCATCCATCTATCGTAGTATTTCCTACTTTATGGGCAATTAAGTGATGCCTTCCTGATGTTTGAGAAGGTTTATGTGGATTGCTTATAATCAGAAATCCAGCTTACCCAATGTGAACTCAGGAACTTTGCCATATGCTACCTGCAGACTCATTTCTAGCACTGTCTTTTCTTCACCGAGCTGGCAGTGAAGGACAAGGCAGCATTCTTAAGAGTACTTCTGGGTAAATCTTTCATTGGCAATCAAAGCTCCTTCACAAAATTTCGTGAAGGATTTTCCTCTTGTGTTTTACCATAACTGTTTTCCTTTTATTTTCTTCCTTTCCACAATACATGCATTAAGGCAAGAAAATGCCATTGCTGCATATTGATTTCTGATTGGCAGAATCAAGAGCTGCCTATGAGTCAGAAAACAGTCTTTGTTATTCCATTATTGGTGAAGTAGCTAATGTATTGTGCCCTTTTCTGAGGTTAATTTTAACTTTAAAAAATGCTACTCAGTTTCTCCTTACAAATTGAGACTGTAGTTTGTGAGTGGACCAATTTTTGTATTTTCAAACCTTCATTGTTAACATTGTGTATCTTAATTTAAAAAATTGCAGCTTGCAACAGTAGTGTAATTATTACTGCTCTCTTAGATATGGATTGCCATGTTAAAAACCATTAAGAGGATTGACCTGAATATACTGAAATTACTTACAAAGTGGCATTCTATGTCATTAAATTCAATATGCAAATTCCCACAAATGGATAGTGAAATTAATGGAACTAGCACCGATGGCAAAATTGACTACTTTGATAAAAGATAAGTTTACCTAGCTTTCTTCCTATATGGGGATCACTTTTGGACTTCTTGCTTGAGAAAAATAAAAATGAAGTTTTGAGTTTAGGATTTGATCATTAGATTTGTTATGATTGTAGAAATATTGTGTATTATAAGACACATATATTTTACATTGTTAAGGTCTATGTTTAATCTTAGGGTAGGCGGTTACATTGCTATATAGTTTTAGGTTTTTTTTTTATTAACTTTGTATATTGTTTATATGTTTTGTTTTAATTTAAAGGAACATTATTTATATGTGTACTGAAGAAAGTCAGAACTCAGTTTTCCTTTGTATTCTCTCTTTTATTTTTAACTTCTTCCTCCTTTGATCTGCCCCTCCTTTTTTAATCTTTTCTGTTTTCACTATTTTGTATTTAATCTTTCTTTGAAACTGAATAAAGCCCATCTATAATCATTAAATTCAGTGATAATTTCCAGATAAGTGCTCTGTTGTCATTAAATGCTTCAACCCAATCGATGTTATTTCTACCCACATAAATTAGACAGAAGAGTACAATATTAAATTATGCAACTAGTGGTATTAATCACTGACTAGCAATAAATTGGTTCTCATATTCGTTTATTTAGAACTGAATTAGCTATTACCTTAAAAGGTACAGCAAATAATTCAGAAGACATAGCTACGGGGCAAAGACAAAACGTTATTAAAACAAATCAAAGTATGATATGACAAATACTTAGATAATTTATAATAAAAGTCACCTAATGAAAATTAGCAGCCCTTAATGTTTACAGTACAAACGCAAGAGATACAATTCTCAGTGCAGGCTATTCCCATTTATAGAATTGGGAGCTTTCTCCTGATTCTTAAACTTGGGGATCATATTATTCACAGTTAACTATAAACCAAACATGAATAAAACCAGATATAACTATTCCTCTAAGGAGGCTATAACCCTTCCAACCGTATAATTTGTATGGGAGAAACATAAAAGGACCTTACCTATTGTTTTCTTTCTGTTCACTGTACTGTCAGCTTTGTGTCTTTTCTGTTGGGAAATAAAAAAGCCAAACATTTAGGTATAGTCAACTGAATGAAACTGGCCAGAAAGATTAAGACAAAACATAAAAGCTTCATTAATGTTTCCAGTATGTGTTAATATTATAGGGAAGCCAGTTTGGTTAGGACTTAGGATGCCAGGCTAAAAGCCAGGAGACTCCCATCTTAGGCATGAAAGCCAGCTGGGGTCAGTCAATGTCTCTCTCTCTCTTTTTTTAATATTTAAAAAACTTTATTAAACAAATTCTACAATTAAAAAACAATTAAAAACATATTTCCATCCATTGCAGCATACTTGTAGTAGTGTTCACTCACTTCGACATATTCTTAAGTATATAGAATACTACTAAATATTATTATACTTATTTTACATTTGATTTATGTCATATTTTGATATATTTACATAGTTATTTACATATTTATACATAACTATACATAGTTCTGCCTATTCATACCAAATTATTTCATTACACCATAACCTTTCATTTAATCTCTCTATTTTGTGTCTACCTTGCAGCCAATTATACCATAAATTCCAAATTTTGTAGTACTCTGTCTCTTCTCTCTCCTTCATTTCCATTGAAATGAAATGTTTCTGCACACTTTTATTTTATTTTATTTATTTATTTTGATTTGTCAATCGCTTACAAGATAATAGGTATAAGTATATACATAATTATGAATACATGCAATGGGTACATATAAGAAAAATAAAAGAAACAATAGGACAGGGACGGTAGGCACGTTGGTGCGCTTATGGACGCCCCCTACAGACCTCTTAGGAAAGGGGTGAGGTCAATAGTAGACAGTCTAAGGTTAAAGTTTTTGGGGTTTGGGGAAGATACCACAGAGTCAGGTAGAGTATTCTAAAACTCTAAAACCTTTTTTATTATCATAATATTGGAGGGAATGCTTTCACTTTTCCAATTCTGGGCAAAGGCTATTCTTGCTGCAGTTATTATATGTAATATAATATATTGGAGTTTCTCATTCAGCCCATCTCACCTCATAGGATTGTTGTTGTGGCGAATATAAAAGGAAGAAGGAGTATCATGTGTGTTAGCCGCTTTGAGTTATTTACAAAAATAATAAAGACGGATATAAACACATAAATAAGCTTTTCTCTCCTATGCATTAATATGAATCCTTCTACAGGTAGTCCTCAATTTACAACAGTTCATTTAGTGACCGTTCAAAGTTTTAAAAAAAAGTGATTTATGACCATTCTTCACACTTACAACTGGTGCAGCATCTCCATGGCCCCATGATCCATATTCAGACACTTGGCAACTGACTCATATTTATGACGGTTGCACTGCCCTGAGGCCATTTGCGACCTTCTGACAAGCAAAATCAATGGGGAAGCCAGACTGACTTCACAATTGTGTTATTAACTTAACAACTGCAGGGATTCACTTAACAACTGTGCCAAGAAAGGTTGAGGAGATTTTTGCTTACTTCCCTTTGCTTCCTTTCCCTTCCTTCTCTTTCCCTTCCCTTCCCCTACTTCCTCCTTCCTCCTTTGAATCATATCTAGATGATTCCCCAAATTGAGGGAATATATACAGAGAAGAAACTACTCCACTGACATATATCAATATATCAAGAAATTTCATAGAATAGAACACTGGATTTTTCACCAATGTTGTTTATGCAGTTGTATGTTCAAGGAATGTACTTCGTATTAAATGTCTGTTTCCCCCCCATTGTTTAATTCTGATTCCTAGCTATTCACTCATTTAGGCAGTTTATAGACTTACAGAGTTCAGCAGCATTAGGGTTTTTACTCAGACCAATTTTTTTATTTACTTAGTCCCATATTGTCGGCTTTAACCGGTATTATCTCTGTAGTACCTCATATAATAAAGTTTTTCATATCAACTATTATTTGTTGTTTAAGCTACATGATAATGTTGAGGATTACCCTGAGGACTTTCCCCATGAAAAATGCTTGGATATCCTCTCTGTTGGATCATTTTCTGGATCACACAATAGGGCAGGAAATGGTAATCTATAACCTTCCAGATATTTTAGACAGAATCCCAATTCCCATCAATCCAAGCCATTATAATCAACCCTGGTTGACGGGAATGTTATTTCAGTAATATTTGATATTCTGATATACTAAATACTGAATACATTCAGTAATATCTTCACAGCTTTTTGGCTAATCTAGGATTAAAGCAAGTACAAGCGATGAACAACTGTCCTTTCATTGCATTTCTGCATAGCATAGCTACTTATGCAATTTCACACATGAAATTCTAGAAAACTTTTCTTTATAGCATATAAACCTTTCCATATATTGTAATATTATCCCTAGGGAGGTTCATCGTGATGTTGAACAGTCACTAAGTGACCAGTGCTAAACTGAGGACTATCTGTAATTATTTTTTAATTTTCAAGATAGTACACTCCTAGTTTATCTTGTTGTGTTTTTTTAAATTAAAAATAACTATTTTTAATTTTATTCTTCAGTATCGCATTGTCTCAAAGTGGAGTTACTATTAAAGTGACTTGAGTAATCATGCAAATTAAGTAGCTTTATACATCTGATTGTTTCTTGCTATGTTGCAAAGAGAGAGACATTTCTTCCAAAATCTAAATTTATACTCACATAATCTTCTATGATTTCTTTGATGCCAGCAATTGTTAGAATAAATAGTAATGGCACCAAGGTAGTATATCTTCCAGTTGGGGAAACCTCTGGAATTTGCTGAAAAAGAAATGTATGTATGTAGAAAAGTATTCAAAGAAAGGATATGGCACTGCTGAAATAAAAGTATATATTACAAAAGAAAAGTAGTTTTGTCTCTTAATTTCAGATGGGGGAATTTAGAGTGGGCACATGACTGAGGAATTTATTCTTATCTTATTTTTTTATGTTGCTTCAGCACTCAAAATAAACCTTTATCTTGCCAGAGACCCAAAGATTTATCTTGCCAGAGATCCAAAGTCAGAAAAATATGACTTGACAGAATTTATAGAAATTTATAAAATATTTAGGAAACTACCTGCAGCTTTTCTGAGTAACCCTGTCCATACTAGGAAGTGTCATTAGCCTATAACTGTGATGGCGAACCTATGGCACGCGTGCCACAGGTGGCACGCAGAGCCATTTGTGCGGGCTCGCGAGCCCCAGGCAAACTAACCTCACTGCGCATGCGTGCGCCTCCCAGCTAATTTTCGGGCCTTTTTCGGCCTGCCAGAGGCTTGAGGGAAGCCTCTGCGGGCTTTGCAGGATGAAAAGTAGGCCTGTTTCGTCACTTCCTGCATTTCCGGAAATACCGGAAGTGATGAAACAGGCCCATTTTTCAGCCTGTTTCATTCCCTCAAGCCTCTGGCAGGCCGAAAAAGGCCTCAAATGGGCCGAAAATCGGCTGGGAGGTGCAGTGCAGGTAAGGGGGTGGCAGGGGGGAATTGTATGCACATGCTTAGGGGGCCTGTGGGGGCTGCGCACTCTGCCTTCTAGGTGCTGACATGCGAGCACGTGAGCGTAAGCGCGCATGCAATTTTTGGCACAGGAGCCCAAAAAGGTTAGCCACCATTGGTCTATAATATTGGAGCCTAACTAAAGTAACTACATTGGATTATGTGTGATCAAGGTTCAAAGCTCTACTCAAACCAATTTTTTTCTACAGTTAGATTTCCTGATGTTGTTAAACTGTAGCGCACATCATCCCAGCCCAATCAGATGTGATAAGAATTCTACTCCGTTAACAACTGAGGCCCCAAAAGCAGGAAATACAGACACCAAAAAAGTATTAGTATGTTCAAGATTGACTCCTATTATTCGTTAAATAATGAGAGCTTCCTGATTGGCTGAGATTACTGTCAAATGACTGCTGCCTTTTTATTTTCTCTGACCTGTACAATTCTGAGCTTCAGCTGAAATTGTTGAACCTATATTGGAAAATCCAAATTCCAAGTCTGCTTTTGGATATGATTGCGATTTCCAATATTTCTATTTTTAGTTTAGACTGGTTTTAGTTTAAGATTGCTATTCCCTGCTTTAATACTATCATGTAAAGGTTGAAAGGTTTCCCCTGTTGTAACTAACTCAAGGGGTGATGCTCATTTCTGATTCTCAGCTGACGGAGCCTTTGTGGTCTGAGAGATGCTACTGTCATCATGTGGCCAGCATGAAAATACTTCCCAGCAAAACACTACCTATTTATCTACTCACACTTGCATACTTTAAAACTGCTAGGTTGGCAGGAGCTGAGGTGAACAATGGGAGCTCACCCCATTGCATGGCACTCAGGTCTCAAACCCGAGCTTTCCAGTTGACAAGCCATTGTGTCTTAACCGCTGAACCATCGTGCCACCCTATTGTGTATAACAATAGGCTAAAAGAATTTATCATTATATTTTCTAGGCTAACGTTCAATTTACCAGTGCCATTATGTTTCAGCCTAAAACGGACAAATGATCTACATACATTTGTTGGACTACACTGAGTTCATCATGCAAACTTAAAGTATAGGCTTATGCATTATGAAACTTCATCACTGCTACAAGAGTTGGTAGTCACAGACTGTTCACCTGCCACTGTACAGATACAGTTGTTTTATTTCAATATAGACATACCTGCAGTAAGGCAATGAAGAGGAAGAAAGCATTTGCAGCTTTTCTAATCTGTTCATACAGGAATCGAGGTAGAAATGTCACCACGCTGTATTTAGCTGTGCTGTTTTGAGAAGCAAAATAAGACGTTGCTTTAAAAGGTGGGAGGAGGTGAGAACATTGAGCTAAGTGATTTAGCTGTGAATTGAATCATAGCCAGATAATTAGATGATTGCTTCAAATTAATACAATCACTTTTATTTAATGGTTGCTGTTTCTAGCATCTATATCTGCTGCTTTTACACATTCCCGCCTCAGTTTTTCTGTAACAGTCTTTTCAGGGCTTGCCAAGTCCAAGATCAGGAATTTACAAAACATCTCATTCCAAACCAGGGGTGTCAAACTTGCATCATTATAGCGATGTCACATGACGTATCACAACTTTCTTTCTCCTTCACTAAACCAGATGTGGGCGTGGCCAGTGTAAGACGCACCTGACTCCTGGGCCGCGAGTTTGACAGCCCTGTTCTAAACCTACTAAATAAACAAACTAGGCCCAGGAAGAAAAGAAGAACACATTAGATCTAAATTGAAAATCATCACAGCTAAACCAAAGAAACCAAGTAACTTCCTTACTAGACAACCTCAACAATTCTATGACACGCAAAGAAGAGGGTTCATTACTATCACTTTCAAATCCTATAGACATTTACTATCAGAAAATCACATGTTCTAACCACATTAACAGTGAAATAGGGGGTCTGCATCCTTGGTTTATTCAGATATTTTCTAATTTAGCTTTTCTAAATCTGTTGTCTCAGATTTGGTTTTGTTAGTATTTGTAGTTTAATTAACAATGGATGTTTCAGAAATAAAGATATAGTTCCCATTCTCAAGGAAAATATATTAGAATTCTGCTTTGCTTCCATTATGGATGGATTATTAGAGCAGCAGGCTCTAATATCTGATAGCAAACCACAACAACAACAACAAAAATCCATTGTAAATGTAGCAAGCAAACTTCAGCACAACGGACAGTTCTTTGTGCGATTATATCTTTCTCCTACATATTCTGCATATGAAACAGCAGCTCACATCAAATTCTCCTCCTCTCCTCACATCAAATTCTCCTCCGCCATTGCCTGTAGGATCCGAACACTATATGACATTAACTGTTAACCCACTGAAATTTTTTTTGTCCATGATTGGTGCTTTTGAAAATAGAAAATCAGCTGTGATTGCTTCTGCATGTTACCAGATGATAGAAAGAACTGGTTGCACAGCATCCATAATGTTTAGTTACTACTTTGGGAAATCAACTTAAAAAATAACAATTTTCCAATGACATTTTTAGCAAGCATGTTTAATCGAAAGCACAACTTTCTTGCAATAAATCCTAGGTAACTATAAGTTGGGTCCTGTTTCAAGAGCTGGCATGTTTCACGTTTCTCCACTGTAACATTGTCTTAACTATAATTTATATTTTGGTCTTCTTAAAAATGGCCATTCCTAGTTCTGTTTCTCATTCTCAGAAGTCTGCCTCACGGTTGTACTGATTCCAATAACATGCTCAAAACAAGAATAGGAAAAGTAACAGCAAAGTCACAAAAGGTCAGTATAGATTTTTTATTAAGAATGTAGAATGAAAAACATAGCACATAGCACATCAGAGATAATTTATATATTGTCAGTACATATGGGACACCTATATTGTTCAGGAGAAATACTATATTAATCTATATTTTGCAGCATGCATGCACACAAGTCAGTTTTTAGACTTATGGTGTCTACCTGGATAAGTCTCTGCAGTTTTTCTTGGCAAGATTTTTAGAAGTGCTTTGCCACTTTCTTCCTTGGGCTGAGGGAGTAACCGGCCCAAAGTTAACCAGCTGGTTTTGTGCCAAAGTAAAACTAAAACTCATGATCTGCTTTCTAGCCCTCAGTCACTACACCAAACTATCTCTATTTATGTTTCCCTAATCTTTTATGAGTCACCAAAGACTGTCAGTTTTAAATAGCAATTACAGCAAGACACTGGAAAAAATATAACCAGCGATACTATATGGCACTGAAACAATTCACACATTTTATTTTAATATTTTTAAAACCTCAAAATTAAGACATTATCAGGATTCACAGAAGCAATCTAAAATGAGATAACTTGTTTGTACTAACAACTCTTTGCAAAAAAAAAAACCTAACACAGAATCTTTGTTTTTCATTTTCCATTCTTTCTTTTGTCATTTTAAATGTGTAATGCACATAAATCTAACCTCTCTGAAGGCTGTGTCTTGCATTATACTGCAAAGAAATAAAGGCTAACTTCCTTTTCCCCCTTGAAGATTTAGGAGACCATATCTTCCAACATTTTGAAGCACAAGTGCAGACAAGCTACATTTTAAATGAGAAGCATGTAGAAGAATAGCTTGTACCGGCAGAGTTTAAGAAATAGGTAAAGTCCATCATGTGCTCTAAAACAGAAAATACACTTCCAATACAGGGACAGAATTATGTTTTTATAACTCAGAATGGAATGTGAATATATAAACTAGAATAGTTAACTGATCAAATGCAGACAATAATGTATGAGCACATTAGCAGAAACATAATACATTTTGTTCATACTGCGAGCCTTCCAGACTCAATTGGAGTTGGGCAACATCTAAAATAAATTTAAAAAGTTAAAATCATTCTTACACTACTGTCAAGGTCAGTCAGAGCTTGGATTTTGTTGTTGTTATTTGACTTAAACTCTGGCCTCCAGCAAATGACCAGAATTTCTGCTAAAACAGGGGTGTCAAACTGGATTTCTTTGAGGGCCAGATCAGCATTGTAGTTCTCCTCTGCAAGCTGGCCAGGACTAGGAGATGGAACAGACGTCTCCTGCAGCATTCTGCCAGCCAAAACGGCGTATGGAGGGGCACGGGGTATGGATTCCCCATGCCCTGTTTTGGCTGCCAGAGGCACTGCAGGGTGGTCCTTTGCTATTTCCAGGCTGGCCCCACAGGCCAGATTTAAGCACCTGAGTTTGACACCCCTATGCTAGCAGGTGGTAGAGCTCCAACAGCACTAGCTCAAAGTGCAATAGGCTGAACATGTTACTCAATCTAGACATGGGGAAAAAAATCTGCCAATGGACTTTAATGGGAGTAACATGACATGATCCACCGAATCAACCCCAATGAGGCACACGTGGACTTCTTTGTAACAGATGCATCGGAAATCATGTAATAGGGAAAAGTTGTGCACAACAAATAATTAGAACTTATAATGCGCTATAATATTAGAGGGAAAAAAATTTCAAAAAGTAAAAATCACGATAAATGAATAGAATAAAATATAAAAGCTATGCAGGTAGGAAAAAAACCCACAAACCATAAATGAAGGTTTTTCTGCTGGCTATTCATCTGAAAATATGTGATGTTAACATGGGTCAAATTAATTCTTCATCATACAGCTCTAATTCAGGAGGGTCAAAAAGCTACTTCCCAGGTTTTAAACAGAGGCATCTACATACAGAATTATACGACCATAATTCGTTCCATAAGTTTGGCGATTTCTTTGTCTTCTAATGTTTTGTCTTCAGGAATTCTTAGGTCAGAGGTCGTGTTTGATCACCACCCGAGTATGTCTTCATGACCAAATTCAAACATTTTGTGAATTTTTTGGTCGGAACCCAATTTGGTCGTAGTCAGAAGCATTCATGACCAGAGGTTCTACTGTATTACAGCCCTCTGGGTAGTTCTATCATCCCTCTGGGTAGTTCTATCTATCTGTATTTAAACCTCATTGTCTTCTATGAAGGAACCCTGTTGACACAGTTGCAATGAAATTATAACATGATAGACATACAAGACTGATAATTAAGTCAGGTAAGGGCAAAAAGCTCCTATTCTGATACCAAGCCAGCAACTCAATAAATCTCTTATTGTTTGTCAATTATGGGGACATATGACTTCATTCTTTCAACTGTCACTGTCATTACAACATATTTCCAGGACCAAGTGAAATTGCTGGTTACCACTTTGCAAACCCAACTTCTTCCAAGATGTACACACCCATTATTCCCAATCATCCAAACTCAACAGCGCAAGACAAAAGGAGCTGTAATCCAACAACAATAAGAGACACAATGGTGCATAAAGTTCATCTAATTTGGAAGTATCTGAAAATGTAGTTTGCTTATACATTTATTATGGTTATTAATGTTCTTTCTTTTTACTCTGTTTGCACCTGGATTCTAAGGCTTGCGTGTGTAAAAACAATTTCTTTCTTTCTTTCTCAGTTAGACAACTGTAGTAAAAAAAAAAGCAACCAGTTTAACTCTGATGGGAGTGCAACTGATAAAAATAGGAAATTTGGATATGCTGTATTACCAGCAATGAGAATTGTTTTTTCTCATTCATTCATTTAATTCATATTTCATTCTTTTGTTTTTAGATATCTGTAGTAGCTGTCCAAGACACCATGCCAAGGAGAGTATTGTTTATATCTAATTGTTTTGAACACACCTTGCACAACCCTTTGGCAGGAAGAATTATCTTGTATCTTGATAATTCAGCTTGCTGACCTCTAGCATTCTCATAATTTTGCAGTTAACTCCAAGAAAGAAAATTGGCAATAAAAATTGGCAAGCAATAAAACATGACAATATTCTGCTCATTTATAAACTTGTATTAATTAAATGCCTTCACATTAACCTATTTTTGTTGTTAATGCACCATCAGAACAATGTTCCATTTGGAAAAAGCATCAGTACTCAGTAAAACGATGACTTTCTATGCACACGAATGATTCTTACAATATACATAACATTCTTCATCACACCATCTGGAGACAATGTAATAAAATTAGATCATCTATGTCATATTCTATTAACAAAGTAAAAAAGTGAAAGGAAAAGTGAAGCATAGGGTTTGCTGTTGTGAGTGGTCCTACCAATGATCATGATAATGTGTGTAGACACTCTGACCAATAAGATACATCTATGTATCTTCTTGGCATCAGTGTGGAACTGAGTTGCTTTTGCCTTATTCTGGGATGTTTCTCAGACTTTGTCTAGACAACAATCCTGATATACCATTGTGGTCTCCCATCAAAGTAATAACCAGGTCTGATAATACT